GCATGCGTTGAACTTGCCACACGCCTCAACCCCCTCTGTTTCCCCTCCACAGGGAAGCCGAGAACCATCAATCACTATTTACACTCTCTCAGACTGCTGGCATTTTTTTCCATCATAAAAACAAATCTCTCTACCACTCTCTACTAAAAACAAAAGATAGATCAACAGAGCCATGTGTTTCAAGATAAGTGAGAGCACTTATGTACTTCTTTGTGGAAATAAATTCCCTGTGTATTTACTATGCAAACAAAATGCAATTGTCTTGAAAATTACACTCAACCTGCTTCCCTCACCTACAGCTCCTACCTGGCCTCTGTGAGCCTGTGAGTTATGAGCCGGTTCATACAGTCTCTAGGCACCACCTCTGTTCTCCTTTTCACAGCCCCTACACAGAGCAGCTCCGGCCCCTCCATCAGCACCAACAGGCCTGCTCGCATTTGCCAGATGACATCATCCCTGCAGGAGCCAAGCCTCTATTTGGAGGTGTTTTCTTCCATTCTTTGTTGTTTTCCCCCCGTTTTAGACCCAGGAACCCATCCAAGCCATGTTTGCTTCCCAACATGTGAACGCGAACAGCGGGCCCCGCAAGCTGAAGAGGCACAGGCTGCCTTAATTACCGCGGGACGCGCCGCGCTGTAGAGGCACCCGGTGGAGGACAAAGCCCTCCACTGGGGAGGAAAATGAGTTGTACACAAACAAGAACACATTTCATCTTGAATTAAAATCGTCAGCACTCCCTCGTTAGAGAGCTCTGGCTGTTTCTTTTCTTTTCCGTGTTCCGTCCCCTCCCTGCCAGGGGGTGGGAGGAGGTTCTTGGCGGTGGGGCCAGGCTGTGAGGCCCCACGAGGGTTTCTCCTGTCATCCCCTCCATGGTCGGGCCTTCTCTTGCCTTTGTTGAAGCTGCAGTTGCCCCAGGCCTGTCCCTTCCTGTGCACAGCGCCCCCCGCAGCCCCTCAGAGTAAACAGGTCCTCAGCAGCAAGCCCTCCCCCCAGCCCCAGGCTCAGCCCAGGTGGATGAATGATTAAACGTGATGAATAACAGTGAGCGGAAGGCGCCATGCAGGGAAAGTGCTCGCTTTAGCTGAGACTCCAGATTTACTGCCGAGCGCCACAAATAATGAAATCATCCATCTTCCAGGGACTGAAACAAGGAGTCCGCTGGGGCAAGTTCGCACCGGGCAGTGAGAGAAAGTCCTGCCTCCTCTGCGGAGCGATTTGTGTCCTGGGATCTCCCTGCTCCAGCGGCCCAGCTCATCCCCGGGCACCCTGGGGACTGTGCCCAGTGGACACCCTGCCCCCAGGTCTTCCCTGAGGAGGAGGGGGAGTCGCTAACACCCTGACCCACCACCTGCGGGGGCCAGGTGGTCCCTGACTCTGAAATGTGCTAACTCAGGACTTGTACCCTCAGCCTTCACGGAGCAAAGGAGGTCTAGGAAGGAAGGGAGGCCCTTTGGCCCCTACCTCCTCAGTGACATCACTCTTACATGTTATGTCATAAAACAACTTAATTTTCATCCCTTCTCAATAACACTCCCTGGAATCTGGGATGGGAGTGCATTTCAAGGCTGCCAGACTCTAGGACACACTTCTAGAACTTTCTATCAGCCCAATGACCCAACCATCAGGACATGTTTCAGTCAGAGTCCCAGCATTAGTAGCATGGCCCCCACCTCACCTCCACTGTGCACAGGAGCCTAGGAAATGCAGGTTTTAGCTTTGGGGCTCCTGCAGCCCAGGAAGCATGCAGGACAGAGGCCCCGCCCACCACCTTCATCACACACTTACCTGGGCTGTAGCTTCTATTGTCCTTGACACAAGGCCCAACTCACTCAGGTACACTCCTGACCAGCAGCCACTCGAGGTCACACTGTGCTGAACACCAGTTTCGTCACCTGGGGTCCTTTCCAGTCTTGGGATCTGAGGGGTAGCCCTGAGGTCAGCTGGACTTCCCCCTCCCAAGGTCCACCCCAAGGCCAGCAACCCCCTTTTTATTGCTTTCCCAAACTGGAACTCAACCTAAGAGTCTCTTTAACAGCAAGAGTTGAGGGCTTGCCGAAACCGGTTTGGCTCAGTGGATGGAGAGTGGATGGAGCATCGGCCTGCGGACTGAAAGGTCCCGGGTTCGATTCCGGTCAAGGGCATGTACCTGGGTGGCGGGCACATCCCCAGTGGGAGATGTGCAGGAGGCAGCTGATCGATGTTTCTCTCTCATCGATGTTTCTAACTATCTCTCTCCCTTCCTCTCTGTAGAAAATCAATAAAATATATTTTAAAAAAAAAGAGTTGAGGGCTAAAAGGAAGCTTGAAAATTACCCATCTGCATTGCCCTCCTAATAAAAAGCTGCTTAGTTACACACAGTTCCTGAAACCTATGGTAGGGTCCCACAAAGATGATCTGGGGACCCTTAAGAGATGAACATTGCTTACTTTAATAGTATAAGACTATTTGAGGTGCATTAGAAAAAATGTAGCATGTCAAATCCATAATTTCACTGATACTATTGACTAAGATGAATAAAAGGGTATTTTATTTTTACAAGTAATTGATTTAAAAGAAAAATTATCATAATCTTAGAGGTAGTATAGTTGACTCTTGAACAACATGAGGGTTAAGGGCATTGACTCCCCCACACACAGTCTAAAATTTGCATAAGAGAAAAAATAAAAGAAAATTTACATATAATGTTTGAGTCCCGCAAAACTTAACTGCTAATAGCCTACTGTTGACCAAACGCCTTACCAATAACATAGATAGTTGGTTAACACATATTTTGTATATGTATTATACACTATATTCATATAATAAAGTAAACTAGAGTAAAGATAATTATAAAAACCAGAAAATACATTTACAGTATTTGTTGAAAAAAAATCCATGTATACATGATGTTTGTTGAATGGTCAACTGTACGTGCAAATGATAACAATCATGATGGTAGCTTGGGATGCCTGAAATTTGGGAGACTCCGTTGCAGCAGAAGAATCCTAATTCTGGGAGCCTGTGGGTTTGGATATGCACTCTTGCTCTGCCACTTGCTGGCCATGTGGCTTTGGGCACCTTGAATGGTCTCCTGGGCCTCCAGCTGCTTGTGGGTAAGCAGAAGGGGTCTCAATGACTGTGGTTCCTTCTTCACGTTCGAAGACTGAGGAGGTTGGATCAGGGGTTCTAGAGCCAGTGCCTGGACCAGGATGCCCCACATTCCTGCTGAGACATCCTGGTGTGGCCCTGGAAGTGTCCTTCTATGCATGGTCCCAGCCTTCCCTGTGCCTGAGAACACCCCATAGAGGTATCTCCTAAATCCCTGTTTGTGTTGAGTTATGCCTCTGTCACTTGTAGCCAAAGGGCCCTAATGAATATAACTGGCTCAAGACCAAGCATGTCAAACTCGCAGCCCACAGGCCACATGCCTTGTTTATTTGGCCCATGTTAGCCTTTGAGTTTGACATGCTTGCTCTAGACTCTCACATCTTCCTGGGCTTTTGTCCAGGTCAAGTTTCTCTGGCCTTGTTGGCCAAACCTTTCTCCTCCTGGGACCCTCTCTGCCACCCTCCCACCTTCCCTGTCCAGCCCAGCTCACAGGTTGGCTCCTCTCACCAGACCTCCCTTCCTCTCTTCTCTGGGCTGCTTGGCCCCTGCTCACCTGGACAGGCACCCCTGAGCAATTCTGCCAGTGTGGCCCTGCTTCCCCACAGAACTGACCGACCACAGCAGAAGTGACCACACCCAGCTAGTGGGATACAGACTCCTTCCTCGCAGCGGTTCTCAACCTGTGGGTCGCGAACAATGAAAATACATCCTGCATATCAGATATTTACATTATGATTCATAACAGTAGCAAAATTACAGTTTTGAAGTAGCAACGAAAATAATTTTATGGTTGGGGGTCACCACAACATGAGGAACTGTATTAAAGGGTCGCAGCATTAGGAAGGTTGAGAACCACTGCATCTATTGACAGGGAGCTAGACAGCCTGATGGTCCCCACTCCATCTTCCTGAGTTAACATCCTGTTTCCCCACTGGCATGGACAGTGTGTGGGTTTGTAGCAGATACCTTGGTCATTTCCTGGCACATTAATAGCTGTGGGATGACTTTAATGATTCGTGGTGGATATGAAAGCACACATTTTATAGGTTGAAGGGTGAGCATCAGATGGGTGTGGGTCACACTCTAAGCTTTGCTTTTCACCATTAGAACATCGTAAAGAGTGCCTGGAAGCTTCAGCTATCTGCCGATAAACTCCTCATCGCAAACTGATCACAGTTAATACATTCTGACGTCCTGAGCACATCTCCATAGGAACTACATAGAATGACCTTGGATCTGTTCTTGACTCCCCTTTCCCTCTCAATTTCCTGAGCTCCCTCACTGCTGGCCTACGGTTTCACCAGTGGTCCCGTCACCTGATGTCCACGGCTCCTCTCTGGTGTCCTCTCTTCTAAGGTTTCAGCTCAACCCTTTTTCAAGAATGCCCCCTCTCCTGCCTCTTCACTTGTTCCTGGCCACAGCACCACCTTCACTGGCTCCCATATTTCCCTCTGTTAACTATCTCTTCATTAAACACTCCCATCATTCCTCTGTGATCAGGACATTTGTTTCCTGCCATTTGTTCCCTGACTCATACACTTAGCTATCTTTTCTCTTCAATGCAGTTATACCTGAAATACTGGAGAATTTCATTGAATCTAAGAAGCCATCAATTAGAAGACACACCATTATATTCCCTACCACTGAGACAGAAAAAAAAACACAACTAAACTTGTAGTTGTCACACAGCATCACTAATAAGGTGCATTCTGATTTTAGATATGAAAATGGGAAACCAAATCGTGCATTTCTGGATCAACAAAATGCATTATGAATTGATTTGTCCCCACCACAGTGTAAGCCAGGGGTGGGGGAAGGTCCTGCCTGTGGGCAGTATAAGGCTCATGAAATCATTTGGTGTGGCCCTGCCAAGGCACTAGGGGTGAGTTAATTAGATGTTTGACCAAATATAGCAGCTAACTTTAAGTTGATAATTTTGTATGGCCCTTGAATGATGTTATACATATCCAAATGGCTTGGCAGAGAAAAGGACCCCCACCCCTGGTAAGCCCTCTGAAGGCAGGGACTTTCTCTCTTTTCTTCCCTGTTGCAGCCAATACTTGGCTCACAGTAGGTGCTCAAGAAAGACTTTTTGGATGAAGGAATGACATCCATCTCTCCCTTGCCTCCAGTCCCTTAGGGCATAGCCTTTGCAATAAATAAGCAGAGCCTATAATGGAGCACTTACTAGTACCTCCTTCCTGCAACAGTCTAGAAATGTCCCTCCTCCTTGCTTCCTTTCTCCTCCCCCACAAGCCTTTCAAGACAGCCACCAGACCTGACCGAAGGAGGAGCTTTTCAGAGCTTGATCCCAAGGTCACCTTCCCAGTCCCAACCTGTTGTGCTGCTGGTTAGCTTTCCTGCAGACGTGGATACCTGTGAGCCAAAGACCTAAGGAAATGAGATGGAAGGTGTGTAAGAAAGAGCCCGTGGACTTTTGCAGAGGTAACATTCCCATGACTTAATCACTTGGGATTTGTCAGCATCTCTTCCAGCTTGAGGTGAGAGGATTTCAACCCCTTCCTTTGATTTTATTTACCAGCCTGCAGGGGACTGGTAAGTCTCATCTCCATCACCCTTGAGTGCTCGTACTAAGGAGATGATGCTCCCTCTTGCTGAGTTAAAGGCTATGCAGGCAGAACCCTAACCACACAGGGTTCACAGGCCTCCCTGTACCCGGCACCCCACAGAAAGCTTCAAGTAACAGCTTTTGGGAAGGACAGAATGATTATCGTCTCATTTCACTTCGCATGGACGAGGTAAAAGAAGGCTTTTAACAGGAGCAGAAGACATGGGCATGTCTGTGAGCAAAGAAGTGCAGCCAGAATGGGGAGATGAGGCAGGCAGGACAGTGGGAAGCTCTGAGCAGAGCCAAGGGTGGGGACAGGGTGGGGAAGAGGTCTTGGCATGTGAGCCAACGATGGGAAACCTAAAACTGCCAACAGATTTAAGCTGGCCCATGCTGGGAGACACAGGAAGCATTTTTCAAGGATAGAAGGAGTGAGAGATCATTAAACTAAGTTACCAGGGCTTCCAAGAGACCCTGGGAGTAATTTCATGAGAGAGGCCCTGACATTGCAAAAAGTCTAAAATAATTCTTCGCTCAGCTATTCACGGTCGGGAGGATGATGAAGTGGTTGCCAGAAATAAAAGATAACCAAAATATGTTGGGGGTTTTTAACGGAGCAAAATCCCTGTATGTGTAACTATATAGATATGGGAAGAGCAAGAAAAATAAGAAGTGAAGGAAAGAGGAAAAAAGGAGCCATAGCGAGGGGAAATTGAGGTTATTTGTTTCCTGATGTTGCAGTGGGACTTTCTATGATGCAGTTGAGCTCGGAAAGCCACCTTCAGCCTTGGAGCCGTGGCTGATACCTACCTTCAGGTTCGGCAGGGACATGGGGCCCCAGAGCTCTCAGGGAGCCACAACAAGGCCACGTCCACTCCCTTGTCCTGTGAGTCCTGCGTCTCCCCACTGCCTGCCCAGGGGCCCCCCAGTCACTGCTCCAACATGAGTGCCCTGCTTCCCCACACCCCTCCCGGCTCCTACTTCAGAGCTTCAGAAACCCCAGCTCATGCGATCATTTCACAGGACAAAAGACGAGGCACTCAGGAGCACTAACGCTCCTAGACTGATTCTTCTCAGCATCTTCCAATTACCTCAGAGGCAACATCTTGATTCGGTGCTAATATGCTTCAGCTCCTCTCTAAGCCTCGCTGATCAGCCTTTGGAACGGAGAAGGAATAGGCCCGGGCTCAGCGCAGAACCCAGCACCTCTGTGCAGGTTCACTGTTTCCATTGCTATGGTTACCGTCCTTTTGCAGCAAAACGTGCTGGTCTTCCCTTTACTCTGCTGACACAGTTTTCCTTCCATAGAAGTTGCTTAGCGAAAACAAACAAACAAAAAGGTCTATATTTAAAGAAAAAGATTGAGTGCATCGGCAGTCGGCACACCTAAGCCCGCAGGCTGACCCACTTACCTGTTTTGTCAATCGAGTGTCACTGGCGCATGGCCAAGCTGATTCATTTACAGACCCGGCTCTGGCTGAGATGTGCTCACGATCCAGCAGCAGCGTGGAGAAGCTGCGACAGAAACCTTGTGCCCTCGAAGCGTGAGAGTCACTCTCTGGCCCTTCACAGGAAACATTTATCCATTTACTCCTGGAGTCAAGGATACCTGCTGTGTGCAGGTGTGGGCAAGCGGAGACCATGGGCTGGGAATGATTTAAATTCTTGAACAGTGAGCCATGGTTAGGAACTTGGACCCCGGGATGGGACAGCACCAGGTGAACCCCAACTCCCTCACTGACCATCAAGTCCCTTCTCCTTGGCTTCCTCGTCTATAAAATGGGAAAGCAGGCCCCTTGTGCAGAATGAGATAATGCAGAAAGGCACAGACCCAATGCCTGGCATAGAGCAGACAGCCAGATGTGAGATCTGGAGGGAGGAGAAAGAATGAAAAGGGGTTGCTAGGCAACACCTGATGCTGGAGTTGGCAGAAATTGGCCAAGGGACTGGGGCATCGGTAAACCCACCAAAATCACCTCCTCTGTGTTGCCCCAGAGTCACCAGTGAAATGTGCCCATCACAGCTGCCACTGGGACGTGGAATTTAGGGGAGAGACGGACAAGGAGAAGGGGCCCATGTGGTGTCCAAATGCTGGACCCCTGCAGAAGTGAGAAGAGCATCCACCAGGCACGGAGTGGAGAGTCCGAGCTCAGCAGAGGTGGGAAATGAGAGCGGAGGAGCAGGAGAAATGCCTGGGGAATCACAGAAATGTAGGGGAGGACTTTGCACTTCCCGTGGATGTGGGGCCTTTGCCCGTTCCTGGGACTCCCAGGGAGCCCCGGGGTCTTCCCCGATGCAGCTGGCTCCTTCCCACACCAGACACCAGACAGATGCAGAGGGGAGGGGACCCCCAGGGCGGTCCCTCTCTGCACAGGGTGGGAACTCCACCCTTTGAACAGATGCTAATTATTACCCACCACCCCCCATGCCCGTCTGTCAGCCGCTAAAATTAGGTTGTGTTGTGCTCTCCTCCCACAGGTGCAGCTGAGTTTGGGAAATGACGCTGTTTTTAGCGCCGGTGCAAGCCGGGAGGACTGACTCCTAGACCTCGGGACCAGGGTCTGTCTGCACAGGAACTTGCAGGAGCAGGAGGCGCCCCACAGTTATCAATTCCTCAGAACATCAAGGAGGACCCAGCTCTCCCGTGAGCTCAGTCGTGGGAGCCGCTGCTGGGCTCCGTGTGGTCAGCGGGTCTGTCCTGCTATGGAGACGGCGTGGAGACACGGCATCAGCAGCCTAACGTCCAAAGGGCAGGGTTCTGCTCAGCAAAGAGCACCGCGAGGCAGCGTTCACCTGGCATGAACATAGCTCACCTGCTCCCTGGAAACTGTGTTTCCGCCTTTCTTACCTGCGGGTTGAATCCCTGCCGAGCTCCTGGGGTCACTGGCACGCATGTCTGCTGGGGGGGTCAGGGACAAGCCTCAGTGGCTGTTCCAGCCCAGCGGGAGGCAGGTCCGTCTCCACGGCGCACAATGTCTGGCTCACAGTCAGCCACTTCCCACTGGGCCCCTGGGAAGAGCCATCTTTGCTGTCATCGCTGGTTTGTGAGAGAAGAGAACCTCTCAATCCAGGAATTTGGCTCAAAGCCCCTCACTTTCCCGCTGCAGGTGGCTCCCAGCGTGAACTTGAGCACAGTCCATCTCAGTCCATCGTGAAGACACAGATCCCGCTCATCTCACCTGGAGTGGAGGCCCAGCCCACCTGCCGGATCCCAGTGCTGCCCCGCAGGCTCTTGGGAACTCAGGTATCGCATGTTCTTCTCAGGGACGGTGGGTCGGCATCTGGAGCAGAGATTGCACGCTCACGGAGGGAAGGATGGAATCTGGAAAAGAGGGAACACCTGGGTGAAGTGTTTTTGCATTTTGCCCCTCTGGAAGCCAGGTATTAGAAGGCTGAGAAATGTCACCTAAGAAGGTCACAGAGTACAACCGTTCATGAGGGGCTGTCTGTACAGGTATCGGGACTTCAACACTTAGCTTTCTGAGAGCTAGTTAGGAGGTTGGACCTCAGAGTGAGACAGCACCCAACCCCTGGAGGCAGAGTCTCTGGGTTCAAATCCCAGCCCACTACTTACTAGCTGTGTGCCCTTGGACAAGTGATTTACCCTCTCTGTGCCTCCGTTTTCTCGTCTGTAAAACAAGGACAATGGCAGTGCCTGCTGCACAGGACCAGTGGCCATAGGACTATCAGCTCCATGTCCTTTTCTGCTGGGATCAATTCTGTCTCCTGGGTCAGATCTTCCCTGCAGAAACACAGGCTGAGAAGGATGCTCTGAGGTCATCCTCCTCGTCGTCATCACCATCAACAGCCTCAGGTGTCACTGAGTCATGGCAGGTGCTAGCCCATGGCCCCTGAGATGGAGGCACAGATGCAGAGCAGGTGCCTTCTCATTCACCTTCCCAGCATCAGCTGATCCTGGGGGCTGCCCCAGACTCATCCTGGTCTGACATCGCCTTGTGTTTATTTCATTTTCACATTCATTGTCCATCTCTCCCACTCAAATGTAAGATCTAGGATTACAGGGATACTGGCACTGCTGGTCACCACTGCATCCCCAGCACCCAGTAGGTGCTCAGTGACATTTACAGGACAAATGATGAATCACAGTGGTGCAAGTTTGGGGGGTGGGCAGTGTGCCTTCATTATAGCGGGCACACATACTAATGTCAGCTGGTGCTTACAGCCCCCTTTGTAGCCTGCAGGCCCAAAAGCATCCACAACCCCTGAGAGAGAGAGAGAGAAACACAAATCTAGACACTTAGCCAGAGAGGAGAGAAAAGGAGAGATTTAAGAATGAGCGAAGGAGGTATTTTCCAGCGTTGAACAAGAACATATGTTTCCTCCTGGTCTCAAGATAATGGAGGACACTCCAAAGAGAACAACCTAGAAAACATCAGTGCTTTATCCTAAAGACTAGCCACAGTCAAGTGCCAGGGAATCTGAAGGAATGGAGCTTTGGGATATAATTTCTTTAAATTACGGAGCAGAAGGAGACAAGGCAGCAGGCCCTGGGCCAAGAGCTTTGGCAGGTCCGTCTGCGTCTGGCCACCTGACGGCAGCTGGCAGAGTGGGCGCAACTCAGGGATCGAGGCCCCTTACCCCCACATCTGGCCACCTGACGGCAGCTGGCAGAGTGGGCGCAACTCAGGGATCGAGGCCCCTATTTACCCCCACAGCCCTTTCCGCTCCCGTTTAAGGATAATCAGCCTTTTCTGCTGTCTCTCGAGAGCTGTTGGGAGCAAAGCTGCCAACTACAGGCTACATCTCAAAGCTCCCCTACAGTAACTGCTCTTGCTAAACCCAAAGCCCCGATTCCAGGGCGGCCTCTCCACCTGATCCATCTGTGACCCCAGTTGGGGACTTGCTGAGGACCGTGGGCTGACACTCACACGGTCCTCCTGGGGTGCGGGGCTGGGGTTCTGAGTGCTCCAGGCATTACCTCCCTTCATCCTCACCCACACGCGGTCACGGGGTCCTGTCAGGAGCCACGTGTCACAGATGAGCCGCGTCAGGCTGGGCAGGACCCACACTCCCTGGGGCCGAGGCTGCAGGGCCACACAGCCAGGCCCAGGCCCACACCCCTGACCACTGAGCACTGACCGTGCACTGACTGTGCCCTCACTAGTGGAAGGGGGCCTCGGCGACAACCCCAGACATGGCTCCAGACGGCTCTGTCCGGGAAAAAATCCTGCTCTTCACGCGGCACCACCTTGCTCATTTTAATACTTAATGGCACGTGCACCAAGCTGCTTGTGTGTCTGTTTCATCCCAGAGCAAAGTCACGCGTGTAATCCTTCTTGCCCACTTATCCAAAAGAGAACTATTGGTGAATGGTTAAGCAACTAGACAAATTGCCACTGTTCTCTCTTCCTTAGAACAGTCAGAGGCCGCCCGACTGACTTCCACCGACAAAAGTCTGATTAAATCTCCTTGGTTTCCAGGGCTACGAGCAGGCAGCCCCCCGGGAATCGGCAATTACACCTGTTTATGTTCTCCTACCTCCCAAACCAGCCCTTTATTCCTGAACACGCACTTTTAGGCATCAGGCATTCATATAAATTACACCATACAATTATTTGTAATTAAGGGTGAAAATGGGTACCTTGCTGCAAGGATGAGCCCTTTTTTGCCAAACTAAATCACGCCTATGCCAGCGTGCGGGCCCGGGGAGGCAGCGTGGAACACAATTAACTTTCTTCTGACTTAAGGGGAGTTTATGTTGCTGTTTTTCATAATCATAATATCTCAGGGCATCTAAACAGTTTTTCTCTAATGTAATTGCATTTCTACCAGCAAGACGGCTTGGGTTTAACTATCAGCTCGGGCAGAATTAACCACCAGCGCGTATTTTGTGGGTGACGCTGGAATTTTGTTAGAAAATCCATGCACAACCGCCTCCTCTCAGGAGCTGAGGGCTTCGATCCCAAGACCCACTTCCCCTACTTTTAACATTTCTCCTTCCCACATCAATTTGTTTGAGACACAGTAAAAGCTTGACTTCTACATCCCTGACATACTCCCATCTGCTCCAAGCTCCAACCCACGCGCAGCCAGAAGGTGCTCAGAACAACCAGGTCGGGTTGCCTTTCAGCCTCTGATGGCAAAATAAACTCGGCAACTGCAATTCTTTGTGTCACTGTGTGTAAGGCAGGTATTCTCCACAGGCTGCCTCTGAGAAAGGCTAGAAGGAACAAAGGTAGCTTCCCCGGGGAGAGATGCCATCGGGGTGACAAGGGACACGAGAAGAGAAAGGCTGTCCCAGACAGTGTGGTTGGAGAAGGACAGGAACTGGAGAATGAGGAGGCTGAGGTGCAGGTCTCAAGGTTTCTGCTGAGACCCATCCAGGCCCAGCTCAGTCGTGGCTGAGAGACGTCCCAGGCTGGGGTCATCTGAGCCCCTGAGGCCCCTCTCATCTCCCAGGCAGCCACTGAGCTCCCCAGTGAGGCCAGGAGTCCCCATATGCCTGGAAAACTTAGACCAAGGCTCGGACACAGAGGACCACGGAGTTTGCTGTGAATTGTGGGAAAGACACATGAGCAGAGGGTGCTTTGCAGCCCCTCCAACCGGGTGAGTGTCTGAGCCGGTGAGTCAAGTCCTCACCTGAAATCAAATCCATAGTACCTGCCCGCAGGGAATACACACATGCAGGCACACATACACACATGTGCACACAGGCATAACACACAGGTACACACACAGAGGCACTCACAAATGAGATCTGTCCCCTCCTCCCTAACCAAGGATAAGGTACGAAACATAGACATCACCATGTTTGAACAACTGCGGGAAGTAATCAAGTGACACCAACTCAGGCGAGCCCAGGACCCCCCACCTCTGTTGTGTGTCTCTTTGCCCTGTCTCCATTATTATGTTTCTTTGGTGGGGAGAAAGGGGGAGCAGAAAACTGGCCCAGTCTGGGGAACTGAGGCCTCACGAACTCACCTCTGTTGTGTGTCTCTTTGCCCTGTCTCCATTATTATGTTTTCTTGGTGGGGTGAAAGGGGGAGCAGAAAACTATGGCCCAGTCTGGGGAAGTGAGGCCTCATGAACTTGAGGCATAAGGAAGGCAGTGCATGGTAATACAGTGTATTTTAAAGCTATGTTGCCCTATACACACACATACACAGGTTTGCCAGATTTAGGGGGGAAAAATTGCATTTCAGATAAGTGAAGAAGAATTTCTTAGTATCAGTATGAACCAAGCATATGGAGCACAGTTGCACACACATACCCAGGTTTGCCAGATTTAGGGGGAGGGAGGGAGGGGGGGAATTGTATTTCAGATAAGCGAAGAAGAATTTCTTAGTATCGGTATGAACCAAGCATATGGAGCACAGTCATGCTAAAAATTGTTTATTGTTTATCTGAACTTGAAATTGAACTGAAATTCCTATATTTGATCTGGCGACCCTTCTCCTCCCCCTCCCCTTCCCACACACAGGAGCGCCCTTCCTTTTCTTTCATGGACATCTTATCCAGCGCTCTACAGAAGAGGCGGCTACAAGGCAGATCCTACCCCCTGAGGCACCTCCATGGACTCTGTGGCCCCAGTTAGGAAAATCACAAGTTCGGTGAAAGCGTTGGCGCCCCAACGCCAGGCACGGCTTCACCTGGGTCCAAACCCACCTGCTAGCCTTGTGACCCTGGAGGAGACCCTTTCCTCCTCTGAGAGTGTTTGCTCATAAGATTCAGCTTACGTTTGAATCTGAATATTCGCACATCTGTGCATGTTGGGATACCCACCCTCTCACCCCTCCGTGTGTCCCTGCCTCTCCCGCACAGTGCAGTCCCCCTCCTTTGGGACAAAGACAGGAGGGCTGCTCTTGACCAGGTTCTCTGGGGGGGACAGGGAAGAAGGGCAGAGAAGAATTTCCCTGAAAGAGTCCTGGCATCTCTCCTTGGATTTGTTCATCTTGTAATTAATAGTGAAGGGGATTTCTTACTGCATCTCCACCTGCCATTACAGAACCACTGGAGGTTTTAATTAAATTAAAGTCATTCATTAACTATGGAAAGGGAGTGTGGAGAACAGACGGGAAGACCTCTGGCCCTGGTGCTTTTCCTTTTTTGGTCATAAAGGAGAGAAAGCTCATCAAAACAGGCTGGCCAGTGTGTGATTCAGTGCCCTGACAGGCAGCTCGAAGGACAATGGTGGGGAGTTGGCTGGTGGCACATCGGACATTTGCATATAAAGGATCAGCCTCCCTCAGACCAAGTTTATGGACGGCAGCAGCTGCGGCTGGGTGTGAGGTTTAGGCTTTGGATATATTTGCTGTCTGGCTTTGTTTTTCTTTTTTGGAATTTCTGAGTTCTCCTGAGACATTAATAACATATTAAGTTTCCAAATTTACTGCTTGAGAGATGAGTTAACTCTAAAAAGTCTGGCTTCCAGGATGATGGTGTGTGTGTATGTGTGTGTGTGAACCTTTGTGTGTCTGCCCAGAATGGGGCTCACACTCACTGATCTTGAAGATCCAGTTCTTGTATTTGCAGACAAATAAATACAGAGAAGGCCCACTGCTATTTGGAGAGAATTGTGAATGTAAGTGTTGAGACCTGCATCACAAGAATGGCTCCCA